TAAGAGTCACATTGGTACTTGCCAGGTTTCGAACCCACACCCGCATGAGAAGCGGGCTGCTTAACCTCCGGGCCACCACGACATTATATTTGCTTACTCTTACGTTTATAACACTCTCACTTATCCCTAATTAAAAAAGAGTACATTATTATCTACTCAATAAAAAAAAGAATGATAGAAATCATTATACATACGGGCATATACATACATATATAAAGAAAACAAATATATAAATAAAACAAAGATTCGCTGGATGCAATTTGCTTCCAACTGGACGACCTGAATGAAACTCATTCAGAGAGCCTAGATGACACCGTGTTTAGTTTAGTAGAAGTGTTGTGGCTGATATGATAATGAGATCAGTTGTTTTTAATGATAAATTACTAGCAATTTTCGTTATTGAATTTCAAAACGAGTATCTATTACGATAATTTGACTAGTGGGGAAGTACCAAATGCTGACGTTTTTTGTACGATGCAGATTTGTAGATTTTGCATAGACCACAGCACCAACCAAGGTTTAAAGAAGGAAACTTTAATATCAGATAAAAGTAGATTACTTTTCCAAGCGATGCTCCATGTCAGTGACATTGATGTTTAAAGTACATATGCAACATGTTCTCCCGCGAGGTACATCAGAGCATTGATTGGGTTAATTTAGATAATCTTAATACCTTTATTGAAATGTGAAAAACGACATAATTCTATGATCTTTATTTTTATTACATCGCAACATAATTGTCGTAATGTTTTTAAAAAGCAGTACATAAGTACAGGTAAATTTACTGCTTTTTTAATTACATTTTTCATAAAATAAGAGGTAAATGATACCTAATTATGGCGATATCAATAAATGAAATTATTATATCAATAAACATAGGAAAAAATATCTGGAAGGAAAAGTCGAAATAAATTATTTTTGACCGATGAATTTTTTGCCACGGTTTAAATTGAAACGGAACCATTTTTCGGTTTATGTGTGTGTGTGCGTTGTGAGCAAAATCTCGCTCAGCATGCGGCAATATTACACTCACTGCAGTCGAGAGGGTCGATCAAAATATAAATTCATGATGACATTATCGGTAGCTACGGTAAAATTGATCGCAGAGATAAAAGATAAATAATAACAGACTGTGTCAATAAATGATATATATTTAGTTTTATTATTAAGAGTAGGAATTGGATGGTTTAAACAAAATGTAATCAAAATTGGATCATTCCGTAGAAGTAATACGTCATGCACCAAAAATACGCGACGAATAGTAAAAATGACCGGTTTTCTCATCGATTAAAACAGAGTCACAGAGAGACAGAGTCTGAAATTGTTATCGGTGAGCGCAAAAAACAAACTTCTGCCAATGCAATCTCGTCATTATCTGCCTACAAATTCGCAATATTGAGCAAAGCCTCTATTCACAAGGAAAAGGTGTGAGCATTAACCACCACTCTTACTGAAGGCAGATTAAGATTTGAACTCATAAGTCCAGAGCTCCTTAGCTCCGAGCGGCTAAACTTTTGAGCCAGCACGACAGCAGTCGCCACTAATACAGTCATGGAAGAAACTGAAGCTTATGACGCAAGAAAGGGCATTTCACATTTATTATTGTTATTGTTACTTAACTTTTTACTTCATTTATTTATTTACTAACGGGTTTGAAGGACGACAGATGTTCTGTGTTTAAAAAAAAACTTTACTTACACTACCACCAGTTTCTTAGTTTTTTTTTACAAACATACTAAATACAAAATAACTAACAAACATAGAAAATAGAATGTTACATATACATCACATCGAGACCAGGAAAATAAATTGGGGATCACACAAAGAGTTTGGTCCGTGCAAGAATCGTGCGGAATTGCCCAGTCACCGCGTCAACGGTGCTGTCACAACCAGGGTTGCTGCGCAAGGGCAATAAGGTACCATGGACTCGGTCTAGAGCAGGAACTGGAACGGAGAAAGGAAGGGGGAGGGGGGCATGTTGTGGTTAATTAACAAGAGCCTGACACTTTGTCTCGTCTCACCCGGGGCAAGAGAAGAAGACAAGTAACTTGATGATTTCCCACTTACAAGAAAATACAAATATAAAAACCCCACACTTGCCCGGGGTTGCGGGGTAAGCGCAATAAGGCACCGCGGCCTCGGCCTAAGGCAGAACAAGGAATGGGGGAGTTTTTAGTCAGTAGAAGAGTCTAACACTCTCTCCCACCCGAAGAAGTCATTTGATGTTTTTTCCCAGTCAAAAAAAAAACACTAAACCTTGCAAGCAGTAGAAATCTATAAGTATATAAGGTTTTGGAGATCACATGTTGTTTTTCCCAAAATGATTTCTATTCGAATAAGAGGACTAAGTATACTTGCTCTGTTTAGGTTGTGCGGGTCTCGTAATGAAGTAACCACACTCTGTTTATTAGTTGAAAAACTTTTAATGTACACATTTGATGCACTAACGCTACTGATATTTTGACAAATCAGAGAGCTTTCACCAGCTGCATATAGTTGGTTCATTCCATGCAAGATTTTTCTTTGTAACTTCATCCCTGAGAGACTTCTTGTATGAAAATTAAATATAATGGAACATCCTAATAAGATATAACATATCCCTTTAATCATTCGGGTTAATTTCCGAACAATAAGAATATGTCAGCGTAATTGCGACACCGCGCTATATGTATTGAATATTTTATGTACCACCTAAGTAAAATAGTGCGCTTTCGGATAGCATATCGGGCGCGACTCATTCTCATCTTTTTCACCTCATTAGTTTTAATTGTTATCCCATTTATAGTACTGAAATAAATAAATCTTTACAATATTCAATCTGAGTATGAATTAATTTCACCTCAACCCCGAACAACACACATCCTTCTAATTATATAATTTATTGGCCCGGCTTGACCAAAAATGAAGCGTGAAATAAGCACAGCGTTGTATTCGCTGTCTGAGTTAGATTACTCGAGGTCTAAAACTTTTCCCCTGCCCGCCACCCGTTCCCTATTTCTAAATCTCCAAATCCCTTTATCCCCAAAAGGTTGGCAATGTATTTCAACTCCTCAGGTTTTGTAGAGATACATAGTATGGATTGCTTACCATCAGTGAATCCGTCCAATCCGTTAGAGATGTACAATGTGACACCCATTGTTCACCAGTTGCAGTTCATATGAGGCTCATGTGGCCTATTGTCATGAAATCTATATCTGTATATGCTTACTGAACTGATATATAAATAAACAATTCTATAACCCTGATTAAAAAATAAATATAAAACATAATAATAGTGGTGGTAATCACCTGAGCAAACTGTGTCAAGCTGCAGGGAGAATGGGCATAGAAAAGGACTAATGAATTACACCAGGCAGGATAAAATGTGTTAAATTTCTGGAATATCAGCAATACCTAAAAATATTTCGCTGGTGTTGGAAGAAATGGCTTTTAAGCGATAAGATCGCTAATTGTACTTTATGTTTTGTGTTTCTTGTTTCCAATGTTTTTTTGTTAATATGATGTACAATAAAGTATATTCATTGATCCATTCATTTACTGTTTCTGTTTGGGAAATAATAAGCATTAAATATAATGATAAAAAATTATAAATCTAGGTAATCCATTAGATAGGTAGATAATGATGGAACGCGTATCTTTTATTTTGTCGTATGCGAACAACACATAGATACATGCAATGAATTTAGGAAATGGCAGGAAAGCATTCATTCAGGTGATGTGGATGAAAATATTAATAAAAAAAAGATGAATTTTGATGATGGTTGAATTGTAAAACTGATTGAAAAAAATAACCATGGAGTTTCTTGCTCGTTCTTCTCCATAGGAATTTACGCTTTGGAACGAGCAAATAGCTTCACTAGAGGACAGACTGACACGCTTAAAGTTCAAGCTCTTAAAATACTTTTTCCTTTTTTTTGCTTGACGTTCAAAAGTGCCTACTGTGGTCTAATTGAAATAAATGATTTTGACTTTTTTGACTTTTGAATTTCTAATAGGTACCTCTATCAGGATTGGAATCTACTTGGAAGACGTAAGACTTGATCTAACAAACTAATATATGTCACACCGTACGAGTATTCTTAAGTAATAAGTCACTAAAGGGTAAAACTTCACCCCTTAAATTCGGTTAATATAAATAATGCAAAAATAGTAAGTCAATTGCATGTGATTGTACTGTAATGTTGGTACTGAATGTTTTGTTACATTTGTTTACGTCTAGATACCTTTCGTTTAATATCCTACGTTATTGAAAGTTCCAGTTTAGTTAGAGGTAGAAATCGAATCAAAAGCTCGATGTTCAAATCATTCATCTTTTGCCTGAGCGTCTGAGGTATACCTAATGGTATTGCTATGTAGTATTACTTCACTTTAAAGATACGAGCCTTTTCAATGTGCAACAAATTGTGTATTGTATTTACTTTTGCATTGACTGGGGTTTATGCAATCTGGAGTCACAATTATTTTAATATCACATAAAGCAGTAAATAAGCCCAACACTCAGTCGATATATCGTTGAATGAAAGTTCAATATAAGGGAAATTGCGTAAAGTTAGGCAATCCGCAATCATAACGTTGTAGGTCTCAGATTTTGTAACGGCTGTAACCGACGTCGCCGTGTCCGAGGTGAGTCGCGAGCCGTCGAGACGCGGCGGCGTTCCTAGCCTGAGGCGCTGCTGCCGCAGCCTCGGCGCTGCATCCACTCTCCGGTAACGATGACTTATTGACACTTGATTACTACAGGTAAAAAAGGTTTTATCAAAATTTTGGCAATAAGTATTCTTACACTTATTTCCTAAATTAGTTATTCTATGTATGTAATATTCGGAATGAAGTTCTCGAGTAACCACCCTGGGCAACGTCCTCGAGTAGGAGGGCCAGCAGGCACGGAAGATAAATTCGTCGTTTTGGTGCGTGCGAGAGCGCGGCGCGGGCGGTGCGGGGAGGCGCGGGGGCGGCGGCGCCGGCGTGCGGAGGCTGCTGCGCTCAGAGCACCTGCGCCCGCGCTCCGTAGCGCCGCTCGCCGTGTGCTCGAGTACCCGCGCCCGCGCACCGGCCCGCGCCGTACAGCGTCGTGACGCCGCCCACGGTATGTGAAACGCCGGTGGCGCGTCGGGGTCGGGCGGCAGCGCGTCCGCCACTGCGCTGCGCTGCTTGCTGGCGCAGTCGGTTGCGCCGCCCGGCCGGTTTTGTAATTTCGCCTGGCAGGCCGTGACGTCACGAGACTAGTTTGACGCGCGTGCGTGACGGTCTGCGCCAGGACGCCCGCGCCGCTGCCGCCCCCGACCTTAGTACCAGTGCAATGACGTGCCCGCTTGTCTCTTCACTTAGGATTACTAGTGAAACTTACAGTGAACTAACATTCGTTTCATTCTGATTCAAAGGTTTTTCAAGAATTTCCAGTTGTTTGTTTTGACATTTGACATGTTCAACAATCGAGTCAATCATATGCTTGTTGAGTTTATGACTCAAAGCATACTTACTTAATTAAAATGTTTTCTATACTTGTGTCTATAACGTAAACGTGTGTGCCCGTTCGTATACTATACGCTAGCGTACAGTCATGTCCGATTCACTTGTACGTGTGAGTAAATTATGTGCGCTTATATCTTGTAACGACGTGTTCGGCGAGCTTCATCTATCTATGTGTGCGCGCACACTGACGACTTGGCTCAGCGGCAGAGCCTTTTTGTAATTTTATTTTTCCTCCTTCAGTTTAGCGATGTGAGGCTCCTATCGAGCAAATGTTCTTGAAATGGAATTGAAAAATCAATGTTAAAATAATCGTAGTCATCTGTATATGTCATGTGTACAAAATAACTAGTATTCTACATTTCATGAATTAGAAGAACTCTGATTGCATGTAAGAAAACTGAGATGAAGCCGATACTAGTCTCTGTAACTAGAGTAACTAGTCGATTTCCGTATTTTTATAAAATAAGGGTTTAGTACAAATGTGCACTCTAAACATGTATTTAGTGTTAGTTTTAAAGAAAAGCTAACGTAAATAGAAAAAATCCATAAAACAAAGCTCTTCAAAGAGAAAAGCTTTTTAAAATTATTGTTCAAATAAGGCTAAATAATTCAGAGATTTTTATTATTACAGACTTTGTACTTTATGCAAGTATGATTTAAAAGTCAACTATCATAAGGAGACAAAGAGCGAAGTTTTATATCGTGAAAAATTCCTCAATGCACACTCGTACATATATACGTAGTATATAGGAGGCCGGTGTTGGTCACTTTCACGCTTACGTGTCGCACATAATTCCGTCTCTCTCACACTCTCGAGCCTCAGCCTCCGTAGCAATGCACCGAGCACTCAGTATCCCCTCAGTACAGCTTCTGAACCAATACGATTCTTTTTGTCTTTTTATAAAATGAGAACGATGGCTAGCTTTGTGTGTTTGTCTTTTCTATACCGCGTGTGATCCTGCCTGTGTATTTATTTCTACATATTTTCATCTTTCGCTCACTTGTTTTCATACGTAAAATGCCTTGTGTGAATCTAATAAAGCTACTTAGTAACGCGAAACAAGAAAATTATAGTCGGTGTAATCTTTAGCGTAACTGATTTGTTTGTAAATAATTGTTTACTGACGAGTTTGACAACCACGTGGATACAATAGTTACCAGTTTGTACCGTTCGGTGGTGCGTCTCGTTTCGTACGGCGCCGGCCGGAGCAGGGGGCTGCTGAACAAGTTCGGGCGCTTCTCGCCGATCAGGTGCCACTTGATACTCGTTCTTTTCTAACTGGATTTGAATCAGCTGTTACTGCTTGCCCTTGGTGTGTTAGATACTCTTTGTAATGAACCTACTACTTTTACGTTTCCTACTATTTGTAATGTGCAATTTCTTTTTGTAGGCTGATTAAGTTGACCCTTGTTGTAATGTAATCGATCTGGGCTGATTTTTGAGACAAGCGGGTGCCTTTGACTGGTTGAAAGTGTACTTTTCATACTAGCACAGATTTCATGAAGGGTTTATTTTTCAGAAATTGAAGTCAGGGGAGTCGAGTGTTGAGCGGGGTGCTCCAGTTCGGAGCCTCCGCCCTCACGAAGACGTCGCCTACCGTGTCGAGGTACGGCGGTATGTCCGCGTCGGCGTCGCCGTGCGAGGAGCGCGCGCGCTCCCCCCGGGCCGGCGCGTCGCCCTCGTCTGCACCGCGCTCGCCCGCGCCCGCGCACGCCGTGCTAGCCACTATGACCCCGGTGCAGCCAGCGCACGACTACTATCCGCATAAAGTGGAAATGGACTCCGATGATGGCTACCCACCGGAGGCGCACTCGTACCGCCATTCGCCGCACGAATTGGCAGCATACGCTACAGATAGTAAAGTACCAGTCCAGCCCGATGTCTACGACCAAGGAATGGAGTCCATGGACGAGAAAACCCCTATAGATTTAATATATGAAGATGAGAAGCAAACCGTAATATACACAACAACTCCAGACCAGAAACGCGTAGAGATGATCAGCGGCCAGCTGGATGATGGACAGCTGGTCAGTAGCGGTGGCCAACTGGTGGACGGTGGAGTATCGGTGGTGGTCGGCGCGCCCGGACAGCCCACTGTTCTCGTGCTGGCTGATCACGTCGTCGACGAGCTCGGCCAAGTCATCACTATTCCCAGGTATGGCACATTCATTATATTCTGTGTAACATTTTGCTTAACATTTTATCATTTAAATGGTAAAAACAACACAGTACAACAGTAGCTTTTGAGTACCGCAGAAATTCAAACAAGCACAAAAACGTTCATTCTTTATCCTAAACGAGGATAATTATAATACCTACCTAAATTTTATCAAATATCCAAATGGTCATTTCCATAAATATCATTGTAACATATATCGTATTTTATGGCTTTGAATTTATTTGATGGTATGGAAATATCACGCAGCCTCTGTTACCAGGTGTCTTTGATAGTGGGAAATTCCATTGGAGTCGAATATAGAAATTCCGTCAACGTGTAAGTTTGTATGAATAGGTAATATATTGTTATGATAAACACATCTAAATACTTTTAATAAAAAATAATTTCTATGAATCACGTTCTCAAGCAATGATAATAGTGCATTTAATTAATGATTGCCACTTTAAGCGGTTCGAATGTGTGCGTGTATGTGTTTCTTACAATTTGTGGTCAGTATGAGACCTCATTATGATTAATTCATTAAAACGTTAGCACTCGATCGTGAAGATTTGGGTAGTTAGAAACAATTGATTGTTTGTGGTAGAGAGTGTTGTTTAGCTGGAAGAATGAGGTGTTTGTGTCGGAGGTCCAGTGTCGAGTTCTCTAGTGTAACGGTTGTGCGCGTTAGGAGCGGCGCGTGTGGGCGGAGCGACGCGCTCACCTTGAACTTGCCGCGAGAGCCGCGTCCGCGCCGTGCGCCCGGGCCGCCCAGCCCGCGAGCTCACTGCCACACTGCGGATCACGGCACCCCAAGATGAACCGATCTTGCCAATTGCCGTTGTGTCCTCGTTAACTTCCCATTATAATGATGATACAAAGCCAGTCTCCTTTTACAGTGCTGAATGGTGCCTTACTTAATATCTAACCACCTTACGTGAAGTCAAAGGTTAAAATTCACGTCTAGATTTCTTATAATGTGGTATCGTTTTGTTTGGTTGGATATGCCATAGCTGGGAATTATATCTTTATTTTCTTGAGTACGTAGGGATACCTTAATGGTGGTTGGCCACGCACCAGAAATTATGAGGCGGTTAGTGTTATAGATCTTAAATTATATCTATTATGAATTTTCTTCTAAAATATTATTGTACCTGGTGTACGACTGTGCTGACGAATTTAGGATATATAAATAATTATTATATTTCTACAGTTTCAGTTAATAATAATGCTTATTAATAATAAATATCGCCACCTTAACTAAATCATTTATTGTATGCTTCTATAGAGTTGGCAAAGCGTAATTCGCGGCTTTATTAAACAACACGGTAACCGAGTTGAAAGCAACCGTCGCAAAAAGCCTCCGCCATGTGGTTGCATGTCATTCATATAGCATGACGTTTGTGTACATCGCGGCGCATGTAGTAAAATTAGTTACGTCTGTTTGCTAGCCAGACGAGTTCGTACGCGACACCTGTACATTAGTTTATTACAATGCAGTAATAACGCGCGGACGCGCCGTAGCGAGGAAGGTATGCTACGAAATAAATCGATGTTTATATTTTATTCAAATAATACATGACCTTTGTATATTACCAAAATTGATAACAAAGTATGAAAATGTGCGTAAAATAAAAATGACATCAATACACAATATTTACTTTTAGATCAAAAAGGATACGAATTCAGTCTTAAATCAGCTCTGCAAAGCTAAACTCGTTACGTAAGCTTTGATTCTGAACGCTTACGGAACGTTAAAGCCGCGCTACGTCACTATTTCAACACTGTCAGGCATTCGAGCGGCTGTCCGTAGCCCGTAACTGTCTCCCAACTAAAATCACTTAACATAATCAACTCTTCTACGAGCTAATCTATAAATTATAGATATGTTATCTCTCTCCACAACCTGTTTTCGGAATATATTAAGAGAATGGACTTAAAAATAGGAGGGAATCTATTTCATGAGATATCGTGCGTGAGAATGGCATATGGAATTGAACACAAATTATTTTTATTTTTGTTTTTGAGTCAACCTTAATGTTGATGCACCTTGAAGCCGTTTTTTAATGAACCAAATGACGTCATTGTTGTTTATTGATATAAAATTATAAGAGTGTAAGCATAATAATCGTGTGGCTTCGATGGGTCATCGTCGGATTATTATTTATAACACACATTATCCTGTTCCGTATCAAATTGCTAAAAAATATATCGAATTTCAAACTTTGTATTTGACGTGTACAGTTTCGAAACTTTTAATACTGATAAGGGAATTTAAAACGGGAGAACTCTTAGTAAAAATGAATAAATAAGCTCGATATGGATTGGTAAGTGATAAAAACTTGGCTGAATCGTTTAGGATGGAGCGAGAGGCTGCGAGCCTCACCCGCCGCGCCTTCAAGACTTTAATGATGACTTTTTGTTGCATCACGGTACGAGCTATAGGCGATGCGCGTTTCTATAATATATTCATTTGAGAATTTTTATTGCGTTCCCATCAGAAGTTATTTTTAACGCGTACGCACTTTTAATCTTAACTCTTTAAGCCTATTTATCGTAGTGCAAATTAATATAATTAAACGTTCAAGTAACCACCGAATTAAAAACTGAGGATCAGTTTAAAACACAAGGTTCAAATATCTAATTCGCCTAAGTTCTTCAATACTGCCTTAGTTTGAGAGATCGTCATAAGCAAAAATATGTATGTATAGGCAAAGTAGGCTCAGTCGCCAGAATCGCCCCCTCTTATGGGTTGGCGCAGGTCGCAAGGCGACAGGCTGCTTCCCCCTCGTCCCGCTGTAGCCTTATTTTATTGCCTCGCTCGCGCTCGTTGCGGCGAGCCCTCGAGATGAGCTTACCATCGCTCGGGTTCTCGCCCCAATCGTTATTTAATGTAATTATTTGGCCGGTAAACTGCTTTTTTTGGAAATCATAACAGTTATGTACACTTTTTATCGCAAGGCTTCGGCTTTAGCTGGTTCCACATAAGTTGCCATTTTGCGTGCATCAATACTCGGCTTAAATTGTTAATTTAATTTGCTTTTAAGTTTTAATAGTTAGTAAATTGGACAGTATTCGTCATTTAAAGATGTTACCCATGAACTATGTCTAATTATGTTTCTAAAGAATATAAATATCATCATAAAATATTAAACAACTATGGGGAGAAGCATAACAATCCTACATAATTTTATATTTACACTTAATTTACAACTGCTACAAGTTTAGTAACCAATTTTATATTACTACTTTCCTAATAAGAAATGCCGTAGAAAATGAGAAACAACCACTAGTAATAGTAATAAAATATGTAATTATTAATAACGTGATGCATATTACAGTAATTGGCGAATCAGTTAATTAATCACTCATTGTATTATCAATGTTGGCTGCAAGAGAAGTCAATAAACCCATGAAAGGGCAAGACATTAAAAGCTCCAAGTAAAAGACATCAACGTGCGCTCCATCAATGTGCTCCCGTAGCGCGTTTGGGGAGTCGATAAGGCGATTCGTAGCACTTTGTCATATCTAATACTCGTGCGCGACAAGCACTATTTTATTTCGCCTCCTACACTAGATGATCAATCGAAATTTAATTGTCTTCGATAAAGTATTTGGTAAAAAAACTGCGTTCATATAACCAACACGCAGAAATAACATTCTCAGTTTGTCCACCTCTTACGGAATAGCCCACTGTTTAAACTCAAAGTTCAGTGTGTCCTTTAAAAATTAACGATCATCCTTTCTACCTGATGCCGCTGTCCGAGTGCAAATAAAAAACGGTTTCCCCGCGTAAAGGGTTCACTTCCCATCATATGGAGGTTGAAGGTACCCGAACACACACACACGAACGTCGACATACACACATTGATACGTTGCTATGTAACTTTAGGCACCGACGAGCCAGCGTCCTACAGAAATCTCAACGGGGGATATAATTTCTTCCGAACTAAAGAACATTGTGGATCGATTGATCGAAAATATTTATAGCTCTTATGTTCGAAGTTCGACCTGTTTATTGATATACTACACCGAGTAATGACGTCACTCCAATTAAATTATATTTGTCACTTTAGTGGATACTAATATTATATAACGTACACTAATAGTACGCAGCATATACATTTTGTAGCAAAAATAAATTTACTTTTAGTCACGAACAAAATTATGAGTATTGTAATTTATGTTTAGAAAATGTATATTATTGATATGTGAATATGTTATTTCCCCTTTCGAAAAACATTGACTATGTTGAAATAACATATCCACACCCAGAAGTAGATAAATATTTCATTCTTTTTTTGTGGCCGGGTCCGTACAACAGCAAATCCATTATAGGATTTTATTATCTCACATCAAGGTTCGGAATCGAACATCAGAGAAGTATAGGGATACAACGAGAAATGAAAACAGATTCTATGGCACCTGAATTTAAGGTTTATGTTAAAATTTCATCTCAGAAGGGAAGTTTTATATTCATAGAGATACGCAACTTATTTTTTTTTGGTTTGGGGATTCCTTTGTGGTTAGCCTCTTAGTCGGTCGCGGCTATGTTCAGTCCCGTTGTTTACCCTTTGTCCACAGTGATTGTACCGATAATTAAACGTGATCTTATTCAAGACTAATCAATTTATATTAAAGTCGTTTTTAAATACATTCAGTTTAAAGGCTGTTGTTTATTTTTATTGTAACTAATTTAAAACCAGTTTGTTTGTGACAATCTCGCTTTAGCATCTGAAGAGATTATGGTCATTTATGTGGACGCTGCGATAAAACAGGAATTGAACTTACTATACGACGGTTTTAGCTTTTATGATCAAAACTATCATCATTCGACGAGCTATATAAAGGTTCTGCTTGAGTTAGATTTATAAAGGCTCTCTTCTATTATTTTAGTCAACGAGTATGGTATTCATAAAGCGATGTTCGTTATTATTTTTGCTCAGTCATGATTTAGGTACGCTAAGGCTGTAGGGGCCTCCTGTAGCGCGAACAAAATA